CATTTTCACTCTCATCTGTCGTTTCTTTCGGGTTGCGACCGGTTTGAGCGAGTGCGGGCTTTGGCGTTGGCTTTTTTCCACTTTTATTTCTTTCTACTGGCGTTGGTCTGGCTTGCTTTGGAGGGGTCCAGGTACCTTAAGACGAGACGAGATACGAGACATGGAGGATAGACACGACGCATGGGACTGAAGTGAACTCTTCTCTCTTTTTCCTTTCTGTCTGCTTCACTATGATGATTTGTCCCTTTTTCTTCTTTTTATCTAGAGCCTTCTAATTCCCTGTACTCTTACTCAAGACTGTTCTGTACATATACAACATCTTTATGGGGTCTACGATCGCATTATGGTTCATCTTTTCCTACTTTGATGGTGGACTCAATAGAGCAAAAGGAGTCAATGGTATCGGTCCGTAGACCTTGAAATCAGGAATTCCATTCTGGTACCCGTACAGACAAAAAGGAAGAAGAAACAATCTTGAGCCTGAGCTCGTGGCTATCACACTTTCAATCAGAATCAATCAGCCACATCCAGAAAAATTCGTAGAAGAGAAAACAACAGACACCGTCATACGCCGGTTCATAGTCCCAGTCAAAATGCAATCCAAGCGCCTCATATGAAACGAAGAGGGACAAAAAAGCAGACCGTTGAATAAGAAACATAGATACACTAGACAGCAATGCGACTGTACGATCGTAACCACTGTAGAGGTTTCAAAGGGGTAAATGAGCATGGCCATCTATGCAGGATCAGAACATTCGTTAAACAGGATACATGCAGTCATCGCTCAACGACGGTGCTTGGGCTGAGCGAGCATGTTCAGACGACTGATGCTGAGAACGCCTCGGCTCTTCGCTCTGGCGCTGGCGGGTGTACCCGTGCGGCTGGAGATCGAGGAAGTGCGGACAGGGGTGTGAGTACGGGCCTTGATGGGGCTGAGGGTCGCAGGAGCCTTTGCCGGATATGGAGCACTGAACTTGAGTCTCTTAGCGCTGCGAGCATCTGAAGTTGAATCTGCAGGAGGCACATTTTCGGTGTCCACTCCGTCATCGGTCGCCTCGCGGTGTCTTTTCTTGTTACCAATACCATGGGGCACGCCAGCAATGTCAGGTAAGGTGGTTGCCTTCTTATTGCCAATCCCGTGCGGCATACCAGCAACGTCGGGAAGAGCGGTCGACTGAGCGTTGACATTCGATGGGCGGACATGACGGATGGTTGGAGAGCCATCCTGACCCGATCTGATAGCAGCGGCGGAGGTCTTCTCCGGTGTCAGGACGGGCAAAGTGGGATACACAATGTCCGACGAGGTATGGGAAACAGACACGGTGATCTTAGACGGAGAAGGAGAGGGCTGGTCCAGCTCGCTGTCGACTTTGGCGGCTGGAGACTTGGTGGTGGGAGTAAACTCGACCCGTTTCTTCGGTGAAGGCGTCGGAGCGGGCTCTTCGGACACTGAAGGCTCACGAGACGCGCCCAGAAGGAAGTTGGAGGTGAAGTCCGGAGCGGCCACATGAGTGCCTGCAGCGATCTTCGTAGGGTCGCGGGAGAATAAGGGCTGATGGCGGCGAAGGATGGATTTGAGACCGCCCAGTGTGGGTAAGTTGCTCTTGATACGTGGGTTGAAATCGGTCTGGGGCGTGCGTGGGATGCCAGCAGGCTTGGAGACCGGAGAACGTGCCAGCGAAGGGATCATGCTGGTCCGAGATGGTTTGAGGCTGACGGATGAGGTGCGTGTAGCAAAGGCTCGTGTGGGTGTCATCAAGGAACTGCGAACGGCAGATCTAGGACGCGGAAGAGTCGACTTGGGGGTCTTGTCCGCCTCAGCGGTCGGACGGCGAGTTGAGACGTCGTCAGTCTTGTCATGCTTGACACGCTTCGCACTTGGCGCGGCTAGGGCAGGAGAAGGCTTCGCGGTCGACTTGGGAGGCGACTGGCGCCTTGACTCAGCTTCGTCAAAGCCCGCTTTCGAGTTGGTTCGCTTGAGTGTCGTCCCAATTGGCTGGAAGCGGCCTGGCGCAGCACGGAACGCGGAGGGATGGTTGGCGATGGAGTCCATCTTCCTGAACTCCGCCATATGAGCGCTGCTAAAGCGGCCGGCTTTGCCCTTGGGCTGTGCAATGCGACGGTCTCTACCATTTAGTCCTTCAGCGTCACGGTCCGCAGCACCTTGCTTATCTTTTTCGAGAACCATTTGGGCCTTGATCTTGGCGACATCCTCACGCACGCTCTCCATAAGTTTCTTTGCCTCATCGCTGAGCTGAGACTCTTGGCAGGCAAATTTGAACTCGAAACCGGGAGTGCCGTACTGGCTCAAGGGGGAGGCCTTGGCTTTGCTGGGAGTATCATGGGCCACGGTTTCCCTCACCACGTTTCCAGTGGCATCTTTCTTGACGGGATTGAAACCCAGGATCAGACCCGAGTCCGCTTGCTTCGTGGTACTCTGGTGGACCTTGCTCGGATGCATCTCGTCATGGGATGGACGTGTTATGGCGCTAGTTGGGGTCTTTGCACCGATCGATTTCTTCGCGCTGGAGGGGACGGGTGTTTTAACACTGGATGGCTTGGTTGGAGTCTGGATTGATTTGGTGGGTGTTTTAGTGGCGGTATGAGATTCGACATCACGGCCTTCGTCGCGTTCCATCACAGCGGGAAGCTTCTTTCTCTTCTTGCTCCCGTCTTTGTTTGCGGTGTTTTGGTCGTGATTTTCGTTGGTGTTGTCATGGAGTGTCTCAGACTGAGACTGCGGTTCCTACAGTGAGAAGCGAGGGTTGTCAGTACTATTGAGACGTAAGGGCAGTTTTTTTGATAGCTTCAGGCGCGTCGCAAATGCAATTGCCAAGAGGGGATCCCACCTCGGATGACGCCTTTTGGCTTCTAAGGCGGGCGGAACGGCGAACCGCCATGATTGTGGATATAAAGAAGGTAGATCCAACAACAGGAATCCGCGATGGCTAAAATGCTTAAAAGAATGACGGATGGAACCAAAAGGCAAGAAAGGGGGATACGGATCGAGGAAAGGGATGGATAGCTGAGGGCGCAAGGGAGATGAAGCTATTCTGGAAGCGAGAGTGTAAACAAAACAACAAAACGCAGGCGGTGAGCTCTTTTTTTGACGTCAGTTGCTACGCTCTCCCACCACCATCAGCATTGCCACCATCTATCATAGGATGTCATGATGCAAGAACCAGTCGATCATAATCTGTACTTGCAGATATTGTTTGCTGCTGACTATCTTCAGACTACAATCATTTTGATCCTTGGATCACCAACCACGATACTAACAGACAGTCTGGTTACCTTTGGTAGATACACACTATAAGCCAAATGGATAGGTCTCGTCCTGTCCCAAAGGAGTCTTTGGTTGCACCTTCTCCAGTGACTTGACGGCTTCAGTAACGTCGAACCAGATATACGCATCGAATTGGTTGTGGAGATAGGCCTGCGAGTAGTGAGAGATGCGCTCTGTATCCGGACGATAGATGACCCCAATGAAACGCTCCAGGCGGGTATTTTCAGCGGCCATCGCGGTACGCAAAGCAGGATCGAGGTGTTCCTTGCGCAGATCAATCACAAAGCTCGGGATCCCGGTATCGTGGGCGATGATCTCCCAGCTATCATCACGAGACGGCCGCACCTTCATCACCTCCATATCGTCGTCCCATTCGTGGGCGGCGGCCACGGTGCCGGTGTGCGTGCCACATCCGAGGATTGCGACATTCTCGCGGCCGAAATTCTCTCGGATCAGCTGGCCGATATTCACCTCGTTGCGGCGCGTGCCCATGCTGGTATAGCGCGCGTCGCCGCAGTGCGAGTTGTGCGCCCAGACGATGGCCTTGGCGTCAGCGGGCTTGTGCCGGAACAGCCGCCGCAGAGTATCAAACATGTGCGTGTCGCGCAGCGTCCACGAGGAGGCGGAACTGTAGTACATGGCCTTGTAGTACCGCTCCGCGTCGCGGACGACAAACGCGTTCTGCTCGCCGCTGTGGAACTCCTCCCCGTCGCGCACATCGTGCTGCGCGTATTGCATCCGCTTTTCCAGCAGGTCGTGCAGCATCTGCAGCACCCCGCTCTCGCAGTCCTCCATCCCGCGGAGCGAGGCCAGCCCGTACGCGGAGGGTTCGTCCACCCAGGGCTGGAGGCAGCCGTACCGGCGGCGAGCCTCCTTGCCCGCGGGTGGGTCCACCCGGTCCAGGTAATCGATGACGGCGCGGATCGACGCGCCCATGCTGTAGAGATCCAAGCCGTAGATCCCGGCCTTCTTCTCGTCGGGCAGTTTGGAGTTGCGGTCGCGCATCCACTCGACGAGATCCTGCATCTCGCGGTTGCGCCACATCCAGGTGGGAAACCGCTTGAAAGGCTCGAGGTCGCGGGCCTTGCCGCCAATGCCCGCCTTGGGGCCGGGACGCTGGCGGACGTAGCGATCGATAGCCTCGGTGTCGGGCCAGTCCGCCTCGAGGGCCACCATCGTGTAGCCATGGTGCTCGATGAGCCGCTTGGTTATCTCCGCGCGCGCGGCGTAGAATTCCGACGTGCCATGGCTACCGTCGCCTAGTAGCACGACCTTGTAACTTCCAAAGTCATCAAAATGCGAGCCGAAGCCGGGGTCCGAGATGGGGGGCAGCGGGCGGGCTGCCTGGGTGAAAAGTTGCTGGAGTTGCGCCATGGACCGAGAGCGAGTAAAGAATCGTCGAACAGACTGCATTAATCAGGTCATTGTCGATGGCAAGGAGTCGGATATGCGCCTCGACTACTAAATACTCGAATATTAATACTGGTGGTGGCCAGCGGCGAATGAAATCACCTCCTCGTCAGCTCTACTATCATGATGACTTCACCACAGCATATGTACCAAAGAACCTCAACAACGCATTATTATATCGTGTAACCCAAGGACGAGAATGCAAATCTCTCGCAAATAAGCAATGAATAATCTCCGCCGAGTCTTGCCCATATTTAGATCCCTATCAGCTAGAGTACTACCAACAAAAAACCGCACCCTCACAATGGCCACACCCTTAAGCAGCCCCTCCCCGCGCGTCGACCGCTTCCAACAAGCCGTCGAATCCCTCTACGGCAGCTTCTCCTCCATCCCAGACCCCTCCGCCTGGACCCCGCCCCCCAAATCCGGCGGCCACCGCGGCCGCTACCTCTGGACCGACGCCTTCGGCGTCCTCACCCTGATAACCATGCACCGGGAATACGAGAAGGCGCTAGCGAGCGCGGCCCAAGCCCCAGACGATCGGTACCTGGTGCTCGCGCGGCGCGTCGTGGAGACCGTGCACGAGATCCTGGGCCGCACGCGCGACGGCAAGGCGCGGCTGCCCGGCGCGACGGAGGAGAATCCGCTCGGCGGCGGGCTGCGCATCGGGAAGATGGACGAGCGCGGCCCGGACGCGGACGGCCAGTACCACCATTACCTGACGGTGTGGATGTTTGCGCTGAACCGGCTGTCGCTGGCGACGGGGGACCCGGCGTACAACGAGCAGGCGGTGGCGCTGGCCAAGGCGATCCACCCGCGGTTCTTTGTGCATCGCGAGTCTGCGCGGCCGCGGATGGTCTGGAAGATGGCGATGGATTTGTCGGCGCCGCTGGTGGCTTCCGAGGGGAATCTGGATCCCATCGATGGGTATGTGGTGTTCCGGCTGCTGCAGGGGGCGGCGATGCAGGCGGGCGGAGGGGCGGTGCTGGCCGAGGAGATTGCCGACTACAAGCGGGTGATGGAGCGGAAGGGGCAGCATTTTGTGTCGAGTGATCCGCTGGACCTGGGGATGACGCTGTGGACAGCGCATTGGTTCTCGGAGAAGGAGGATTGGGCGGCGAGGTTGGCGGGGCGGTGCTTTGAGCAGATTTGTATCGCTGCTTGTTCTCATGTCGTCTGGAGATGAATGCTGATATGGTACAGATGATCTGTTTGAGATCAACCGTTACCTCGAACGCAATATCAAGTACCGGCTGGCGTTTCGCGAGTTCGGGACGTGTATGGGCATCCAGTGCCAGGCGGAACAGACCACCGAGAAGGATCGCTCGGTCGACCTCAAGGTGTACGCCGACGCTATCATCGCGGCCTGGGATCCATACATGGAGCTGTCTCTCGCGACAGACGTGACGCCAGACGATCTGCGGCCCATTACTCGGATCATGTATGCCGCGGCGTTGATTCCTGGAGGTGAGTAACAAAGCCAGAAAAGAACATGAAGAAACTGACAGCAGGTGCAGCCTTTCGCAGCGGGTATCTGGGTCCTGAGCCGGAGTGTCCAGAAAAGTAGCTAAGGCAAAAACGAGTGATGTACACGGTTGCATTCAGAGTATATATGCCGATGCACAGAATGAAGAAAAAAGATCCCTACTCGTACACAAAGTCTATCATGCATACGTATCGTCGTTCTTATATTCCAGGGATTCCAACGATATCCCGCCAGAACGGCACACTCAACGGCAAGATGTATACAACGTAGACCGTCCCAAGAGCAATCAGCAGTCCAGACCACTACGCCGTTAGCCATGCATGACCTCTCTTCCCGGATAAGAAAACATACCTTTTCCAACCACGTGTGGAACCAAATCGAGGTCATGAACAGCATCCACCATCCCAAACCCACAACAGCCCCAACCAACCGTAAAGACCAAGTCCGCATCCAATCCCCCTGTTCCTCCTCACTCTGAACTTGAACCTTCTCACCCTCGCTCTGACCGGAAACGTCTCCATCCATCTTCTTATCATCCTCCGCCCCCACAGAAACAGCCCTTATCGCCCCAACAGCCTCAAAAACCAGCATCGACGTCGCAAGCACAAGCATAAACACATGTCCACTCACATCATGGCCCCCTGTCCACGAACCCCCAGCCGCCTTGCAAGCCGCGGCGGTAAACATCTTCTCCAGTCCCGCAGAAACAGACCCTTCCTGCGCAACAGCCACCGCCGGATTCACCGACGTCTCCGCCATAATGCGCTCGCATTTCCCGCCCGTAATCACAAAACTGCGGTCAATAATCGGGGGCCCAAAGAACCATTGTGTCGTTAGGTACCACACCAGCGTGGCCAGGCTGTATCGGAGGGCGGCCTGGGCGAGTCGGCGCGGTTGGTGCGCGGAAGGGGCAGTGTAGGCGGGTTGAGAGACGAGCAGGGAGACGAACGCGAGCGTGGTCCAGACCCAGCCAACCTTGACAAAGTAGAGATTGAAGATGTTGTCCTTGCGAGCGAAGTAGTTGACCGGGTTTGGGGGGGAAAGGTTCACGTTGGCGGCGATGGAGGGGGCCAGTGAAGGTGAAGCGGGACGCGTGTGACGGGTTTGCCGGGAGCCTCGGGCTGTGGGAGAAAGGATGGAAAAGAGCGATCCCACAAGTAAGGTCATTGGATAGATAAGAAGAGCCGTCGTTGGAGGCCGCATTGTGGTGGTAGATGCAATTGAAGGAGGGGATCGCTCTCGTGAGGCCATTCTGCCGGTCTATGTGTCTTGCGGTCGAAAATCTATGTTTTTTCTTCTGTGCTAGATGAAATTGGAACTCGAAGACAAAGAGTGTGATGTTACACAACCGACGATGAAGAAAGAACTAGGCCAACATCCTGCACCTCTCTATATGCAGTGGTGGATGAAGAAAGATTCGAGGATGACGTCGGTGTGTGGCCGGCAAAGTTCTTGGCTTGTGATGGTCACAACAACCGGACTGGAAGTAAGCTGGTACTGACGGCTTATGTCATACACCGGTCTATCTGTAGAGAATCATCAACATCAACCGCCTTACAATAACATACTGGACCATCCTGGGTGGCAGTCTATGTCCCGAAGATCCAGGGTTTGAGAATGGCTGCGATAAAATCCTTTCATTATCCTTCTGAAGATTACTGGGAGGGCAAACAAGTAAAAAACAGCATGGCCTCTACCATCAAAGTCCCAGAAAGGACGAACTTCCTAGGCTAGCCAGTCCCTGCTAGGATCCAAGAAAGAAAGACTGGCTGCAGGAAGAGACTAAAGTGAAATGGCAGTGACAGATTAGAACATGGTTTCCAGTAGTGAAATGGACTCACTGTGCAATCACTTTGTACTGACAACCTAGATGATACTACTAGACAGAAGCATGGTATTCCGGTCACCTCCAACCAGGGCATCCATAGGTAATCTACAACTTGATGCAAACCTGGTGAATCTCAGTATTCACTAACTTCACTCCTATAAATGATTCAAATTATTCACAGTCCATTCTTTACAGAACTCCTTAGAACTATCTATACCCCTATCTTTCAATTCACTAGATAAAAAGGAGATAGAACAAGTGTTACTACCCTCTATATCAAACTCGCCTATTCTATCTGCTGAAGCACGTGCACTCTATAACCCTATCTCACCTGCATCTACATCTACATCTACAGAGTACATCTACAACAATATGAACTCTACTACCACTGGCAGTATGCAGCAGCAGCAGCAGCAGCAAGCAGAGTTCCAGGTTCCAGCTGAACAAAGCGCCCAGCATGGTCATCATGAACAGGATCAGCACCAAGGTAAGCCTTCTGCTACCAGCTCGTCCCCAGACTGATCTGACTGCCGATCCGTAGGAATGGAGTCCACCTTTCCTTCGGAACTGACCATGTGCTACGAAACACTGAGTGTCAAGGATGCCGACGAGAGAGCCGATGGCCGCGTGGGGCAGAGCGGAGAATCCCAGGCACGCAAGCACATGGCCGTTCCTGTTTCTGCTCTGGAAGCGGCCGTAGAGAAAGGTAAGACTGTGCTCAGCGAACTCCTCGGGGTTTTCAACCAGTCCCATGTCTCGACTGGAGATACGGGCTGGCGGGACGCTATCAGGGAACTGCTTGAATCTGCTAGAAAACCGAAAGTCGTGATTGGGGTGCTCGGGGCCACGGGCGCGGGCAAATCGTCCCTTATCAATGCGATCATTGATGAGGAGAGGATGCTGGCGACGAACTGTATGCGTGCGGCCACGGCGGTTGCCACCGAGGTCGCTTATAATGATGGCCCCAGGCGATACAAAGCGGAAGTTCAGTTTATCCAGGCTGAGGAGTGGAAGAGAGAGCTGGAGATCTTGCGCCATGAGATGCTGGACGAGAATCCGGACATAAACGCCATCAAGTCTACCAGGGAGAAGATCAAGGCTGTGTATCCTGAACTGGATAACGGGAATCTCGCAAATACCACGATGGAAGGGCTGCTTGGCCATCCGCGCATCGCGAACCTGCTGGGATCCTCGCTCTTGATCGAGGAAGACGACCCTCGGATCTTTGCGGGCAAGCTCAAGCCCTACATTGACAGCAAGAGCCGAACAGCTCGAGAGGACGCAGGTCTCTGGCCGCTTATCAAGACAGTCCGTCTGTACGTCAAAGCCCAGGCGCTAGCAACCGGCGCGGTCCTGGTGGATCTTCCTGGCCTGTATGACTCAAACGCTGCTCGTGTCGCTGTCGCAGACGACTATCTGAAGCGCTGTGCCGCCCACTGGATCGTGGCGCCCATCAACAGAGCTGTGGATGATAAGATCGCCCAGTCGTTGGTCAGCAAGCATCTCAAGTCGCAGATGATCTTTGATTGCATATGCGATAGTTTAACTTTCATCTGTACGAAGACCGATGATATTTCTGTCACTGAAGTCCAAATGTCTCTGGGGCTCCAAAGCCCGTCATTTGAACGAGAGGAAAGAGCGAAGCATGATTTGTCGACCGAGGTGCAAATGCTCGACGAGGAAAAGGCGAGAGTCGAGGGGCTATTAAATGAGACTCAAGATCACATCGACAGACTGGAAGATGATTCGACAAACTATCCACAGCCATCTCCCCTCAAGAGAAGATGGAAAAGCGATGCGGAAAGCATTTTCACTGAATTCCCGATTAGTCAAGTTTCCGCGTGTGCAGCAATCAAGCTTGAGAGTTCTGAAGCCGCTCAAACCTCAACCCTAGCCTCAAAAGAGGAGATCCTTCGTGAACACAAGGCACGAAAATCGGAACTTCGCAAACGACGCAACTTCCTCATTCAACAGAGAAAAGTCAAGGGAGAACAGTTGGAGAGACTCACAGCTGAGCTGACCCAGAAACACGTGAGCAATATCCAAACTTCCATCCGGGAACGCAACAATTATTCCAAGAAAGAGATCACCAGGCACTTTCAGCACTTGAATCGCGAAAATGACAACAGGATCCTGCATGGCAAGATTGAACGCGAGGGGGAGCTTCCTGTTTTTTGTGTCTCAACCAAGGCATATCAGAAGCTCCAAGGTCGGCTTCAGAAGAACGAGCCCGAAGCGGCCGGGTTCACCGAGTTGGCACAAACTGAGATACCCCAATTGCAAGCTCACTGCATCCGTTTGACGGAAGGTCCACGAGGGGCGTCAAGTAAGCTCTTCCTAATCGAGTTGAAGAAATTATTGCAGTCAATGTTGCTTTGGTCCTCGGCGACCGGTTCAGCTCATGTCCTGTCGGATGCAAAGAAGCAGGAGTTGGAGGCTGGATATAAAGAAGCGGTGACAAAGATGGAGAAGGCAAGTTTTCTTTCACCACCCATTGACACCAAGCTGACAATCTCAGGGAATGCAAGAATTGCAAGATCAACTCTTTGCTAGCCTGCGCACGACTTTTGCAGAAAACGTATTGCAGAAATTGGGTAAGTGGCGACCACATATACGCTCCGACTTGAATTAATCGAATAGAAAACGCTTGTCAGCATGGCAGTCAGGGATTCCGAGAAGTAGTCGCGGATTGGAATGAAGATGTGCATTGGAGCACCTACCGAGCGATATGCCGTCGCAGCGGGGTCTGGAAAGGCTATGTATGTCACCCCCGCCAAATAGCCATGAAATGCTAACTGTCCGTCAGAATTGGAACAGCGAGGTGTAAGTAATGCTCGAAGCACCTTGTTGATGAACAAGCGAGACTGAACTATCGACAGGGCCTACCCCATGCTGGAATATATCCGCTCCTACTGGATCAGGTCAGAGCTCGAATACCAATGAAGACGATCGGCTGCTGACTGCGCATTAGGACGTTCAACGAAGAGATCCCATTGCATCTCCAGATCTTTTCCCAGAATACCGGAACATGCCTTGACATCTTCCACAAGAACATGATCTCATCTGCAGATGAGAGTAGCGTGCAACAGAACAATACAGAGCTGCAGAAAACCCTAGGCACGGCCGCCAACTCCTTGAGACACCAGGTCAAAGAGACCGAGGCGTCCCTCAGGATCCAACAGAAGACTGCGAACCGATTGTTCGTCGGAGTGATTGCAGCAGAGCTTGAAGGGACATTTTGGCGGTGCGCAAACGAGGCCGGTATATCGTGTTTATCCTTTGTGCGTGTCGTGAGCTGACGGAGTAAGGGACTGGAATGCTCAAGCGGATGCAAGCTCTCATGGAACGTGAAGCCGAAGTGAATGGGGCACAAATCTTAGAAAAGAGTGCCCAACGAGTGTCTGAAGAGCTGTCCAACATATTGAAACAGACCGAGGGCAAAATCACTCGTATAGTCCGCGCAACCGTGAGAGAGCTGGCGCGCGACTACCACACAGCGATTATTGCATCACAGATCTCCGAGCAAGAGATGCAACTAAAATTAGAAGTGGCTGAAGCCATTCGCAAAGCAGAGCAGCATCTCAAATTGGACCAACTTAATCTCAGTGCTGAGGATGGTGTCGCAGCAACTTCGAACGCCTCTCCGGCGGCGGTGGAGACGGGACCATAAGCCAAAGAGCAGACTGAGGATCAAGAGGGCCCAGGGAATGATTTATTCAGATTCGAAATGTCGGTCAGATCTGAGTACTAATAATGCCGTGCTCCRTTCCAAACCCTTGGGTTCACCCGTCGAAGCCACAGGATGGGGTACGTGTCGACTTGGGACTCGATTGCGGGCGCTTGGGCCAGTGGGTGATTAGCCAGTGTCAACGCTTCAACTGTTGTCAAGCACTATCTAGATAGTAGTTAGTCTAGATCGTCTGTCACTTGCAGATGGGTCATCGTTTTCATGCAATGGAAGATGGAATACCTTCTGTTTTATCCATAGTAAAGAGACAACGACGGACCTGTCTAGGCTCTTCATCTGGAGGACTTCATAGATAAACTGACTCTACTCCGTACCAGCGTCAGAATCATAGCTAAACGCCAGTACTTCTGTCATGTCCACGGAAGAATCGACGAGCTTCCACAAATGCACGCTAAGCCAGCAGCAGCATTTGATCACTTTTACCAGCCTCCTGGTTTTTTCTGTGAGGCCAAGTAAATGGGGTGGAGGATTGATCACAAGGTAGATAGATATAACCCAGAGAACATGATCAGAGAAGATAACAAGTCAACATTAATATATTAAACTTCATTCTCTGTTAAGATTGTTGATGAATTGACGGTTCTCTCTTCTCTGCTATACAAGGTAACACAGTACTTTGAGAGCACATGACATTAGCATTAGCAGCATCAACATTTTCTATTATGGCATCCTTCTCCTCCTAACCACCTCCCATTCACGACACTGTGAAAGCACCGTGAATTAATCTTGGATATCTGATATTCTTCTTGATCTCTTCCTCCCCATCTCTATATTATTCACTATCGCCTGCTCTCACCGGTATACCAGCGGAAGAATATCAAGATAAACATTTCCACCGCCTTCGTTGACATTCGATACGCTCAGCCAATCAGCGGCTGCAGTTTTTTATAACCAGAAAAAGACCAGAACAGGAAAACGCCGCAAGAGGAAGAAAAAGAGATGGTTCTTCCTCAACTCTTTGCCCGTCACAAATCCAAGCGGTCCACTTCCTCCAAAGAGGATTCGAAGAAGACTTCATCTCCAAAAAGTCCTCCTCTATCGACGGAGACTCTTCCATCTCGGTCATCCTCGACTTCAACTTCTTCGTCTCGCCACTCCCCCAGTCATCCTCCTCATTTTCGCTCTAACTCCACATCCACCGCCGACACCCGTTCCTCTTCCTCATCATCCATTCACCCACCGTCCTCTCAGTCCTCGAGGTCGTCCAAACCCAAGTCGAGATCTCAGACCTCCGCTAAATCCAAATCTTCCTCGTCCAAGGACGCCTCCGCTGCGAGGTTCAGTTTCCCTACCTCCCGGCTATCCTCCACCTTCGATCGTTACTCTCGCGATCCCGACTTCCATCCTTTGAATCTTCCCCCCGACGAGCTACGTCGTTTATCCGCCATGGCTTCTGCCGCCGATCGAAGTTCAATGGATATCGATTCGCCTGCCTCTCCTTCCCAGAACACCAATGGTGTGAACGGCGCTCAGACTGACCGGACTCCTACCCCGCCGCCGCACAAGTCCAATGGCTCGGTCGCCGAAGCCGACTCGTTCAAATTGGCGGGCAATAAATTTTTCAAAGACGGAAATTACAATCGCGCGATTGAAGAGTTCACCAAAGGTGAGTATGCATTTTCGTATGTAAAGTAATTCCATAAGGCTAATTGGTTAGCCATTGAAATCAACCCCAGCTCCTCCATCTACCTCTCCAACCGGGCTGCGGCATATCTCTCTGCCAACCGCTACCTCGAAGCTTTAGAAGATGCCGAGCGCGCTCTGGAGCTGGATCCCGACAACTCCAAGATCATGTATCGTCTGGCCCGCATTCTGACTGCTCTGGGACGTCCGTCCGAGGCTCTCGAGGTTTTGTCCCGTGTTCAACCCCCCGCCTCTGCGACCGACCGTGCCGCTCCTGAAAAAATGCAGCGCTTCATCAAACAAGCCGAAGAAACCCTGGCGGAAGATCGAGGTGTGTCGATGGTGCTGTTCTGCGTTGAGCAGGCACGGCAGCTGCTGGGCCGCGGAGTCAAGGAACCCCGCAAGTGGACTCTTCTGACGGCCGAAGCACAACTGAAGATGGGTAATGAAAACTCGTTGAGGAAAGCGCAGGATATCGCCATTTCTATGCTCCGCGAGAACAACCAGGACCCTGATGCCCTTATGATCCGTGCTCGTGCGTACTACGGCTTGGGAGAATCCGAACAGGCTCTGAAAACGCTCAAGATGTGTCTGGGTCTGGATCCCGACATGAAACCGGCGATCAAGTTGCTGCGCACCGTCCAGAAGCTTACCCGCACCAAAGAGGAAGGAAACAATGCTTTCAAGGCCAAGGATTACCGCAAGGCTATCGAGCTGTGGTCCGAAGCGCTCGAGGTGGACCCTCAGAACAAGGACATGAATTCCAAGATCCTGCAGAACCGAGCCCAGGCATACATTAACCTGAAGGAATACGAGAATGCCATCAACGACTGCAATCAGGCCCTGAAGTTGGATCCCTCGTACGTCAAGGCGCAGAAGATGCGCGCCAAGGCCTACGGTGGCGCCGGCAATTGGGAAGAGGCTATCAAAGACTACAAGGCGGTAGCAGAGGCCAACCCCGGTGAGAAGGGCATTCAGGAAGACATTCGCCGTGCAGAGTTTGAGCTGAAGAAGGCTCAGCGGAAGGACTACTACAAGATTCTTGGTGTCTCCAAGGACGCATCTGAGTCGGAGATTAAGAAGGCCTACCGCAAACTCGCCATCCAGTACCACCCGGACAAGAACCGGGATGGTGAGGCCGGTGACGAGAAGTTCAAGGAGATTGGAGAGGCCTACGAGACTTTGATTGACCCTCAGTAAGTTTTCCGTCGGCTTGATGGTTCTGGTAGATTCTAACATCATATAGGAAGCGGGCTGCTTTCGACAATGGCGATGATCTCATCGACCCTGCCGATATGTTTGCAGGCCGTGGCTTCGGTGGTATGGGCGGCATGGGCGGCATGGGAGGCATGGGAGGCATGGGTGGTGCCACTCACATCAACATCGATCCCAGCGTTCTCTTCAACATGATGAACGGCGGCGGAGGATTCGCCTCGGCCGGTGGCCATCCCTTCGGCGGCCACCACCATCAGTCTCAGGGCTTCCCTGGTGGATTTCCTTTCTAAACTCAGACTCGACCCGACGGTTTCAACGACGATAGATGAAAAAGGTCTTGAAGTGATGTGATTGATACCACAACGACAATAGAACTCTTCTGCTTTGGTCTTGCCTCCTTCATCTGCATAACAGGCCGCTCCATGCATACGTGTCATCTTTCAAAATATTCCCTGGGTGCATTGCATTGATGGTTTCGGACTGCTCCTGATGCCTGATGCGATAGATTGGCGTCCCTTTTGTTTTCATTTCTTTGCCATTTTCCCACTTTTATCGGCCTGATGGTATCCGGGTCGAGGTTCTTTGTCGTTTTGTTTCACTGGCTTGCCACGTATCAGTGGGATCCGAGCAGAAGCAGATCATTTGATTTGAGGCGTGGCGGAAGACATTGTAAGGCGTTATATACTCCATGTACGGTTACTGATTTTTGCTGGGGCATGATGATGCCTCCTTTTGATATGAATGACACATTTTTCCATGGTCGATTACTGATAGACATGAATACTCGAGGCTATGCCATTGCTGATTCATTCGCGCTTCAGACGAAGAGTCTTTCTAGATCATCAAACAATTTTACCCAACATAGAACAGGATTGACCCCTCCTTGGATTTGAAGGTGACATCCATCCATCCTCCTAGCCTTCTGTCATCGTCGTCGTCGTCGTCGTCGTCGTCGTCGTCGTCGTCGTCGTCTTCCTCATTGTCATTCTCACCCTCGTCATCGCTTTCCTCGTCATCCTCCTCCTCATCATCACTAATCCTCCCCGTCCCAACCATCGCATCGGCCATCCCCTCCCCCGACTCTACAACTTCCACACCCTCCCCCTCGAGCCTTACACTCCCACCTTCAGTACGCACGTGCACATTCCCAGCCCAAGCAGCCGGATACGCAACCTCCATCGCCCCGTTCCCCGCAACATGACACCCCGCCACAAAGTAGTTGGTATCAGCCTCAACCTCAGCCTCGGAACCCAAGACATAAGGCTGGGTAACATGAACCCGCTGCTCACCGGCCCCAGTCTCCGTCACGATCGACACATTCCGCCACATCTCCCTGGTACAATCCTCGCCAACACCACCAGTAACCGGAATAAGCACAGCAGTGATATCACCACCGCCCGAAACCAGCCGCGCAGAGCGCGAAAAGACCATCCGGCCTGCGATAGGCCCTGTCTCAGTTTGGATGTCCAGCTCGTAGGGACGGGCCGGTAGATCGCAGGTTTTCATGACGTCGGTATGTGGCAGTAAGTCATTACCGTCCTGGTGCAGCTCCATGGCTAGTTCAAGGTCCGGGAGGACGGCTGCCTCTGGCGCGGTGAATGAGACGGTGACTGTCCCCGAGAGGGAGCGGATATGCAGACGGGCTGGCTCGAATGGGCGGTCTGGGTGTGCGGGTTGCGGGGCGACGGCAACTGTGATGTTACCTGTCGTTGTGGTGAGGGACAGGGAGTCGTAGAGGGGGTACATGCCGTGTATGTTCTCGGCATTGGAGTCGATCGTTATTCTCCGGTCCCTGGATGCAGATGCAGACGCGGGGCTACCCTCGTCGCTGGTGCTGGAGCTGGTGTCTGGAAGATCACCGGTGGATTTGGGCGACTGCAGCAGTCAGTAGTGTTTATCAACATGGATGCACGCAATGACTCACCCGAGCACAATACCGAATGACATTATAAAGCACTACACAGAACCAAACGGCCAGGACAGCTTTGAGAAGGAACAGCAGACAAGTCCATCTGAAGCTTCTGGATCGAGAATGAGTCCGCTTGAACCTGGGGGTCCATTCATCGTCAATCCCGAAGGAAGAG